CAACATTATTTCTACAATTCGCTTGCGCGAAGGTGTCTTTAGCAGGACCCGGATAAAACCCACGTACAACCGAGGATTCAAAACTACGCCAGTTGACTCAATGACAGACCTTATGATACAGCACGCACGTGCTAACAATTCGCCCCCCCCCCCCAGAGAGAGAGAGAGAGAGATGTTTACAGGTTCACTTAACAGTATGTCAATAATTACTTTGATAGGGAGGGGGGGGGGGGCAACCGGGGGACCTGCAGCAACCTTACAGATTTGCTGGAGACCTTATGATCCAAGACGCATGCATATCAAATATGAAATACTAAGGTAGTAAGTGGTACAGAAAATTCCACGTTTTTGTCCGGAATGTTTACATCAGCTTGCTAAGCTGCCTAACTGCCATAATATTGACTTGTTTTTGCGTCATGGGTTGGGATTATTTTGGATTATTCCACTATGAGAGCGGAAACCAGTGGTCAGCGGAAAACGGCTCCTATTAATCTACGAGGGAGACACGGTCGGGGCGAGTAAGACCATGGCTCGCTCATCAGGAGGTCGCGGGTTCACTTCCGGTGTTGGCTGCGAAATTCATCGGACAGGGGATGGGAGGATTAACCAAGGTCCCGTGTACACAAGACCTCTTGGCAGCTAGAATTCTATATAAGTGTAGGCCGCAGAGTAGCTGTCAGGGCAAAATGTTCCTCATAGCACACTATAATTATGATTTCCGCTTGGACGAGAACCACTTTCGCTGATTTTCATGCTTGGTCCCACTATCTATTAACTCGTTAATCACCCCGCTTGATCCACCACCAGACCACCCAAAGGTATATAATTCATGGTTGAACCAGTGTTTATAACTCCAGGTATGATTCGAGAACATCGCAAATATATCATTTCCAGTGCGGGGGAATCCACTATGTCCACAAACAACGACAGTTACGAAGGATGACTTTCAGAGTTTAATTCGGTTTATTAACCCAACAGCATTTTTACTGCTAAATGAGCAAATATTTATACCATTATTGTTATGATACAGACCGCTTAGGGTTATATTTGATTTTTATCCAGATTTAGATCTCAGTCTAGGCGTATTTCATTGCCGCCAGTCCGGAACAAGATACGTTTTAGAATTGCCTGTCTGTTTTTTCTTGACAGTGATTTAGGTTAGGAAGATTACAAGGAAATGTGTCTAGTTGCTTGGATGGTGTGAAAAGCCGAGGTCTCGTGTATACCATTGACATCAGTTTACAGCCCCTTGGTAGTTAGTTGTCTAGTGGTTTAATGAGTGTACGTTGGATCATGAGGTCTGCCATTGAATTAAGTGGCGTGGTTTCGATTCCCCACGTGCACGTGACAAGGAGTATGATCCCCTTTCTAGCTTCGTGGGTTTTCTCCGGGTCCTCCGGTTTCCCCCCACTTCTAAAGACCCCCACGCGCTAGCGAATTATTGAAATAAAATTGAACCATATGTTAGTCCCGAAATGACCTAGTTTGTGTCGAATGGACTGACAGGAACAGGGTCTAGTCATTTGGATGAGATAACAAACCGAGATGCCACGTACACGTCAATGTGTAAATAAAAGAGCCCCTCACAGTTGCAATTCGATAAGAGTAGGCGGAAACGGCACTGTCCAGTTCGCCCATAGCACACTGCATGACGCATGCTTATCTTCTATAGCTGGTTGGTGTGGACAAGTCAGACGTTAAATCCTATTTCATTTCGTTTAACCACTGATGCTAGCGGCATTTTTTTTACTGACTACTGAATTTAATTGATGAATTCATCACGTATTTTACCATAGGTTATAATAGTTTTCGTGATATGTCTAGTCTAATTAGTTCTGGTTTTGAGCGGGGCCTTTGGCTCTGGCCAGGTATCATACGACGCAAAAGCATGCACCAGGTAAAAAATCATGTACCAGGTAAAAAAACATCGATATGCACAATTACATTGATAGTTGAAATTATATGAAGAATGTGAGAAAACTTTTTCTGTCCAGGTAAACTTCTCACCGCCATGGAACTATATAAAAGTATCTTCTTTGATTGGCATTTAGTAATTGAACATATTATTACAAGGTACAAAATGAAAAATGAAATGAAATGGGGTTTAACGTCCTACTGTTCTGCTCCTATACTGGGCTAATGAAGACGGGCATTTCGCATACAGTGTGCTATGAGTGAAATTTTGCCCGGAAAGCGGCACTACGGCCTACTCTTATATCGAATTCCAACTGTCAAGGGATCTTTTACGTGCACGCCAATGTGTACACGGGACATCGGTTTTTCGTTCCATCCGAACGACTAGACAGTTTCCTTGTCAGGCCCTCCGTCCTGCATCACTGAACCACGCCGGAAAATCTGGATCGTACACCCGACCTCCAGGCTAGCGAGCCAGCGTCTTACCCACTTAGTCACTGTGATCCCCACACACGGTACAATTTTATGGATACACAGTTACTGAGTTTAATACTAAGCGACGTTTCGACGAGGATATTGATAAAGACGAGAGTATCCTCGTCGAAACGTCGCTTAGTATTAAACTCAGTAACTGTGTATCCATAAAATTGTACCCGTACAAACTGTACCTTGTGTTATATAAAAGTAAATGATTGAACGTTAATCGTAAGAATTGACTGTGTGCAATATCTCACGATGCATTGAACCCTATAATTAGATTAATTCTCGGGATATGTCAAGCCTGTATAGTTCTTGTTAGAGTGACGGGTTGGCACTGGACAGGTATGACACGACGCAAAAAAAGGGTATCAAGTAGAGAGATAGAGAGAGGGAGAGGGAGAGCGAGAGAGAGTCAAACTAGGTCATTTCGGGACTAACACATGGTTCAAATTTATTTCAATAATTCGCTTGAGCGTAGAGGTCTTTAGCAGTCCGAGGAAACCGGAGGACCCGGAGAAAATCCACGAGGTTGGACATACGCCATACGCCTTGTCACGTACAACTGAGGAATCGAAACCACGCCAGTTGACTCAATGACAGACCTTATGATACAGCGCGCACATGCTAACCATTCGGCCATCTACCCCCCCCCCCCCATCAGGTAAAAACCCCATCGACAGTGCATGTACGACATACATTGGTAGTGGAAATTTTGTGAAGAATATGAGAAACGTTGTTGTACAGGAAAGATTCTCACCGCCATGGGACTATATAAAAGTAAAATGGATCGTGGGATCATTAGGAGTAGCTCTAAGACAGAAGCGAATCCAGCGGGGGTCCACCCACCCACCCCTGCTCAGTTACATAAAAATATGTGATATCACAATTAATGCTTTCCATCAATGAAATTGAATCACAATGTGATCTCTATTAATTCATAATAAAAATTGACGTCAGACGGGATGTTGGATTTCTCTCTTTAAAAAGCTCAGTGTGTATGTATGTATATATATATATACGCCTTAATGACGATAGAGAACATGTATTTCTTAAAAATGTTCAAGAGCTCCGCCCTCCCAAAGATACCCCCCCCCCCCCCCGCAAAAATTCTTGAATCCACCCCTGTTAGATCCCACATATCAGTTATAACGATTGTTGTACACGGGGCAGGATATCCGGGATAAGTAAAACTAGCTCTGTCGTGCAGTGTGTTTGGGGAGATTTTATATAGACCAATGGTTACACGTGAGCTTGGGTTTTCGTCCCATTGGAACGCCTAGTTGCTTTTCTTCGCAAGGTCTTTCGTCATGCACATGCGCAAACCTAACTGGATTTTACCTGGCCAGCGCCGTACTCATCGAACCAACAGGTGCAGTAATGACGTTTTGCCGAGAAAAACGGCAACGGAACTTAAAATTACAAGTAAATGTATCTAAAACATATTATCCAATCTAACAATGCGTATACTGATCTGATCTGATAGGTGTCGAGCGAAAGGCATTATATCATGGAACATTTGGAATGTTCGATTGGCGTGGGGATTCTTTTAAAGAGGTGTTATCACTCATCTAAATGAAATGAAATGAAATGAAATGGGGTTTAACGTCCTACTGTTCTGCTCCTATGCGGGGCTAATGAAGACGGGCATACGCCATACATGTAGTGTGCTATGAGGGAAATTTTGCCCGGGCAGCGGCACTATCGCCTACTCTTATATCGAATTCCAACTGCCAAGGGATCTTTTACGTGCATTCCAATGTATAGCGGGACCTCGGTCATTCGTCTCATCCGAAGGACTAGACAGCTGTCCTTGTCAGGCCCTCTGTCCTGCATCACTGACAAGGGGGAACCACGCCGGAAAATCTGGATGAACTTTCTCGGCCAATGCAGGGATTGAACACCCAACCTCCAGGCTAGCGAGCCAGCTTCTTACCCACTTAACCACGTGATCCCCCGTTGAGCACCCCAAAGCAACCCCCTTATTTCTGTACATTTAAATATTGAAAATAAAACATTATTGGATTTCTACCGCATTCTCTCTGTTTTACCGTGGATTTAGTCGTGAACAGTGAGATATCTTCTGACAAATTCTTACGATTCACAGAGACTTGAATACTATCATATTAATAAAACACCGCAAAACCAGGCCCGTAAGTAAGGGGTGGGGTGGGGCCCCTTGCGAAACGTTTCGCCCCCCCTCCACCCCTGTGAAAAAATTGTTCGACAATGAAAACAATAGATATACATTGTCCGTCAATTTTACGGCACCCCTGAAAACACCTCCCGCCCCCCTCGTTGCTATGAGCTAGTTACGGTCATGCGCAAAACATTGGCATGCTTAGAGGTGTTTTCAGTGAGCATTTGTTAAAACTGTATGCGACTCGGTAACGTTATTTTTCTATAATGTTCGTTAACCTCTTTGAAAGAGAACAACTATTTCTATACTACCCGAAAACCGAAAGTAAATATATGCATATCATAGCGAAATTGAAATTTGTTTTTTAGTCGTCGAAGTATTAATACCTCTTCAAATCCGAATTAAATACAATTTGAAATAAAAACACCACACAACATAACAAATATAATTTAATAAAATCGCAACTTACATTTATGTTTTTAAATCAGTTTAGATGAGGAAAAGTTAGAAAAGTTATTTTTATTATTAGTCAGACAAATAATAGTCATTGGCCCTTTTTCCTTTCCACGCACCAAAACTTCGTTTGAGGGCTCGTTCTTTAAGAAGTCTTGTCAAATAGGCTCGAATAAAATGCATATCCTGTGCCATTTGGTGTGCTGTTTGTCTTTTCACAGGGGCAAAGTCTCCGTTATTATCACTGTCGGGTGTTCTCAAATAATTTAATAAGTTTCGAGAAAAGTTTTCTTCTGCGCGTTTTCCAGCCCAAGCTGCAAATTGTGCTCTTTTCATTTCGTTCATGTCCCTTTTACCATTCCACGAGCTAAAAGCGGCTCTTTTAAGCGGGGAATCCCACCAAACGTCGTCGTCACTGTTGGCGCTTTCCAGATCGCTGTCGTCAATGGATGATTCCGCGTTACGCTTGCCACCCCATGGACTAAACGCTGGCCTTTTAATTTCCGTTATTTCATCACCCCTCTTACCACTCCAAGAACTGAAAGCTACTCTTTTCTCGTCTAAATCTTCCTCATCGGTGTTATACGAGTCTGAATTCCGCTTTCCACCCCAGGGGCTGAAAGCGGCGCGTTTTACTATTCGGGGTGAATCTGCTTTCATACTCCATTCTCCAAAAGTCGATCGCTTTGTGGATCCGTCGCGTTTCCCATTCCACGCACTGAATGCCGGACGTTTCTCTTCTTGATTAGACCAAGCCTTGCGTTTTCCATGCCAAGCACTGAATGCGGGTCTCTTTTCTTCCAAATTTCTCTTGCCATTCCATGCGCTGAAAGCAGGTCTCTTTTCTAGTTCGTCGATCTCCGGGTCCCTTTTGCCACTCCAAGAGCTAAACGCAGGCCGCTTATCATAAATATCGTTGTCCATATCTCTCTTCCCGTTCCATGCACTGAAAGCCGGGCGTTTGTGGGTTCCGGAATCTCGTTTCCCGCTCCATGCACTAAATGCTGGACGTTTATCTTTATTACTTTCTAGAGTTTCCCGATCAGAATCATCGCGTTTTCCGTTCCAGGAACTAAACGCAGCTCTTTTATTATTGTCTATAACGGATTCTCGTTTACCATTCCAAGCACTGAACGCTTTTTTAGTTTTGTCCGAGTTTAGTAAAGTTTTATCACTGATTTCGGCTTGGCCCTGCGGTTGAAGTAACGTCGAATTGACAGGAATAACATCCAATATTACAAACAAAACACACAGCCTTAAACTTGTTGTAATTTTCTTCATTCTTAAAATCCCTTTTCCTCTTCTCCCTCGCCGAAATCTTGGGACAATTTGAACTATAGAGATTAAATAGCTAGCGAGTTGAACGGGGGCTGTGTCATGTGAACTGTATCACGTGATAGAAGCACGTGACGTGGCGACACCTACGTCTATGGAATATTATCACGTACTGAGATCGATGAAGGCATAGAATGATTTTCCTGACTAGCTGATAACGCTAACTATTAATGAAATGAAATCAGACCTATTGAGGTTTAGTAGTGGATTAACACGGGGAGAATTGAATTCTTCCATCCTTATATCTGATAATATCAGTGGTCGAGTGGTCGGGGAAAATAACAACTGCCATTTTTGACTTGTTTCGATTAATAGAGATTATCTGTTAATATCCATACTGCCTCGCATCGACCCTCGTGTTGCCAGAGTTCGATAAAGGTTTCTCCATGAAGATTAAAATGAACTCTTATGTAAAAACGAATTATTGTCTCGACCACCAATTTTACAAAATACAATTTTACTTGGACCGTTAAAGGGACAATAACACCCTTGCTGTCTTGAAAGCTCCAGAAATCCAAATAATATCTCTATCTAAGTACTAGATGTTTAAGTGTCCTACTTGTTGTGTAAATTATCCATTACATCCTATTTTACTTGTCCAGAGGGTTAGAAAATATTTTTAAATCGAAGTTACATTTGAAAAGGTTTACGTTAGACGTTTCAAACCATTATGTTGAATTTTTCAAAAATTTTAAATAAGGTGTGTTAAGATGAAATTTGTATCATCAATTAATTGAAATATTCTAATAAAGATTGGGACATATTATTCAGTTACAACAAGAGTGGTATTGAGCCTTTAAAGTAGTTGATCGCCATTTGCAATGTTCGACAATATCTGAATTTTCACATAAAATGTAATCAGGTTTATTATTCAATGTTTAATTTAGAAAAAAAAACCAATAAAATAAAAACTTGGAAATATATATTTATCTATGGTAGATAATTTAAAATCCCAAGGTCGGACAAAAAAGAAGCCAAAATTAAATATTTGATTTGTATCAATCGGAATCCAACTGAATTTTAGCCAATTATGGCTATTTTGAGGATGCTGACAAGCTTTGATTTCGTCATATCTTTGTAAATACTGAAAGGAATTGAACTATTTTAGGATTGATATTCCTTTTACAGATCCAATTTCCACAATAGTGTAGTTTATAAAAAATAAGGGGAGCCACGATGGTTAAGTGAGTAAGATGCTAGCTCGGTAGCCTCCAGTTGTTGGCCGGATTTTCCGGCGTGGTTTCTCCTTGTCAGTGGTGCAGGACGGAGGGCCTGAAAAGGACAGCTGTCTAGTCGTTCGAATGGTATACGAAAATTCGAGGTCCCATGGGCATGTAAATGATCCCTTGGAAGTTGGAATTCGATATAAGAGTAGGCCGTAGCGCCGCTGTCCAGGCAAAATTTCCCTCATAGCACGCTGTGTGGCGTATGCCCGTCGTCATTAGCCCAGTCGGAGCAGAACAGTAGAACGTTAAACTCCATTTCATTTCCTTTTTCCTTATAGCACACTGTTTAAATTAGAGATTGTTTTATCAGACGACATTTTCATTAAGTGGTGCGCCCTTGTTTTCTATTTTGCCACAGGCACACCAGTTTAAGGACAATATTGGTGTCAGTCATCACCACAAAGTGACAGAATTGGTTGAACACGTTCCAAATATAATTTTCACACAGAGATCATTGCTACGATAGATGTATAATGAAGATTTGAAGAAACCAGAAGTGACGCAAAAATACGAAAACACAAGTTATCTTTATATAACTGACTGAAGTAACGAGCGATAACAGGTACAGGTCGAATTTCTGCTCACTGATAATTCCTTCGAAGACGAAAAGTTGTTATATGAGACTGTCATAAGAGAAAACGAAAAATTAAAAAGTCCGCGCATTACCATGTTTTTATTAAGTATAGAATGAATAATTTACGGGTCTTTCCTATTTTATTATATAGGGCATTTTATTATATGTGACTGAAGGAATTTTATTATATAGGGAATTTTATTATATTTGACAGAAGGAATTTTATTATATAGGGAATTTTATTATATTTGACAGAAGGGCTTTTATTATATAGGAACTTTTATTATATTTGACAGAAGGAATATTATTATATAGGGAATTTTATTATATTTGACAGAAGGAATTTTATTATAATGGAAATTTTATTATATTTGACAAAAGAAATTGTGTTATATTTGATAAGAAATGGATATAAATATATAAATATGACGAATAAAATTGAAAAATCTAAAGCAAGGGTGCGTTTAGTAATTCGTATTTAATTTAGTTCAAAATTACCCCACCCATCATTCACCTCTAGAAATAAATAAAGAAACGCATACACACATGTATCTGTACTTTCCCAATAAATGAAATGAAATGAAATGAAATGGGGATTAACGTCCTACTGTTCTGCTCCATACAGTGTGCTATGAGGGAAATTTTGCCCGGGCAGCGGCACTATCGCCTGCTCTTATATCGAATTCCAACTGCCAAGGGATCTTTTACGTGCATTCCAATGTATACATGGGACCTCGGTTTTTCGTCTCATCCGAAGGACTAGACAGCTGTCCTTGTCAGGCCCTCCGTCCTGCATCACTGACAAGGGGGAACCACTCCGGAAAATCTGGATGAACTTTCTCGGCCAATGCAGGGATCGAACACCCGACCTCCAGGCTAGCGAGCCAGAGTCTTTCCCACTTAGCCACGTGATCCCCACTTTCCCAATAATGTTATATTTGTAGAATTCTGGATAAAGTTATATTGCTGTAAGAAGGCGTCATTGGCAAAGAGAAGACCAACGGACAAACGCCATACGATGTGAAACTTTGCCAGACAGCTATTGCATTCCGACTCTCATGACTTCTTTTGCAAACACGCCAACATGGACGCGGGACTTCCGTTTTTCGTACAGTTTTACCTACATGACAATTTTAATGAGTAGGATGTTAAGCCCCCATTACTCGTCTTAAAAAGCATAAACTATAAGACACGCTGTACCACATGAAAATGGGTGATTGGGGCCTACACATAGATATAAAAAACGAAGTTTAATTTCAGTTGTCTTAAAGAAACCAAGTTCAAAGGCCGCATTTCCTTTGTCATGTCTCCAATTATTTCTAAAAATAACTAATTTACTTTTTACAACGCGATGTAATTTCCCAGATGAAAAGAAAGTGACTATTTATTAACTTCGGAACATTTTTCACTCGTGTGGCTTGATGAACGAATCTATCACGCGGAAATGAGTCCGACATATGGTTTAAAGGATGAAAGAGATGGCCCGTGGAAAAAAACAAAAATATTCTGAATAAAGCCAAATTATAAATCAGTATTTTGTATTCGATACCCCTTATTCTCACAAATAATAATGCGACATAGAATATGGTTTACTTTTATAAAACGACACAGAATATGGTTTACAGTAAAGCGACATACAGTATGGTTTACGTGAATAAGGCGACATATAGAATGGTTTACGTGAATACTGCGACATACCATATGGTTTACGTGAATAATGCGACGTGTAATTAATATGGTTTACGTGAATACTGCGGAATACAATTACGTGAATACTGCGACATAAAATATGGTTTACGTGAATAATATAAATTTATAAACACAGAAATTTGTTTCGGAAGGTAACAGGATGCATCTATCCAAACGTAATCGCATGAGCTAGTTAACGAAATAAAACAAATTTCCGTGTAACTGCGTAAATTACGTTTTCCGTAAAAAATTAAATTTCTCAATGATTAATCCACGTTAAAATGTACTCAAACTGATTATTTATCATTTAATTAAATATACAAAATCAAAATATCAACGCTAGATAATCTTCCGATATGGATTCAAACAGATTAAAAACATGCCCATCAACATTCCAGTCAATGGGTTAAGTTTGATACGTCCGAATCCTGGCATAGCGGTGTTCAATAAGTGGGTTGTCTCCCTTGACTTTCACCGTTTCGAGTGAAATATTAAGTCGTTTCAACAATCATTTCATTAGTCTCTATCATCCAGAAAAATATTCTACGAATATTAGTCTGGACAGGTTGTCAACATTTGAGAAAAATTGGCTAGATAATCCGGTCTTTCACATTATCATAAACAATGTCTAAGGGAGGTAACTCCCCTTAAAACAAGATGTTTACGCCCATGAAATTAATTTAAGAATGCCATTTCAAAAAATCCATTTGATTGCATGCGAGTTCAATATCTAACACTCTTAATTTTTTATTGTAAAATTTCTCTCTTCATGGGCCATATCTATGCTTTTAAAATCAATCCCAATTCGTCGTCACGATTCATGTTTGCAAGAATTGTGGGATTTATTGTGGGAAGGGGCGCAACTCTTACTTGACTTGGCTAAAGAGACTGGATAATAAACCACATTAAAAACCAAACTCCCGGTTACGCATGGGCAATGGACTTTACGTCAAATATTGACAACCTTCCCAGACCCTCCGTATGTTGAAGACTAGGAGGTTCTGGGTGACCGAGACTATCATTTCATGCCCCCGTCAGACCGGGTGGCGTCCTTACTGCGCTGCTGCGACCGTACAGCGACAAGAAAATGCACAAGGTCGCCGGCAAACGTAAACACAACGCGAGAAATTGTCCCAAAAAATGTACAAACTTGAAAAAAGTCTCGTTCTTTACCCCGTCAGACCGGGGTGGCGCCATTACTGCACTGCTACGGCGACGTAAAATGGCCCCAGAGCGCGTCAAGATCGCCATAAGCGTGGTAAAAGCGTGGTGGAAACGCCAGATATCGCGCTGTGGTCTCGATAGTCGCAAATGATCTCCGAGTCACAGTGTTTGTTTTGAGCATGTTCAAAACAAACGCCAAGGCTTTGCGATCTAACCTTTTTCATAATAGTGGGTTTTTTTTCATAATGGTTACGGTTAAAGGACAATATTGGTGTCAGTCATTATCACATATGTGATAGAACTTGTTAAACACGTTCCAAATACAATTTTAACACAGAGACCATTGCTACGATAGATGCGTAATCAAGGTTTCAACAATCGGAAGTGACGAACGCT